CGGTAAGCAGGAGTAAACTCAGGCTTATGATGTCTGGATAACTTGAGCACACAACCCCCCCCTCCGCCCCCGCCACCCCATCCAAAGAAAAGAAAAACACCAAACGCATTTGTAGGAACAATATGGAAGCTGACATAGAGCAGGAAACAGGGCCGGCTCCAGGCACCAGCAGAAGAAGCACATACCTGGGGCGGCATTCCATCCATTCTTGATTTTTTTGCATTCAAAAGAAAATAATGTAAAACTTTAGAGCCTACAAGGCTTTTTTTTTTTTGCTTGGAGTGGCAAAAATGGTAGAGCCAGCCCTGGCAGGAAGAGTGCATGTGAAGAGCTGAAAATTGCTTAAGGAGTGATCGGGCTCAGATTTTGATGAAGCTCTTCCCAATTCAGGATAAGTGTGACTAATTATCTTCAATATATGCGTCATTTATGGATACCACATGATCGATAACAATATAGTTAAACATGAAGTCAGGTTTGAAGAAAATCAGTTTGTGTGTTTCAAAGTTTGGCGCATTTAAAATCAGCAAGTCATGGGACAAATTTCACTTTTAAATAGACTCAGACCTTAAAGCCTGCTGTCATTCTAAATATGCAGGTTTTTCAACTTAGCTTTAAGACAAACTCAATTTGTCGATTTTAAAGTTTCAGAACTGTTGTCTTGACATTGCTTTATTTTTTTGAGTCTCAGTGAGAGCAAAACAAGTCACATTTGAAGACGATTGGCTCAGAAGTTATAAAGTCAATAAAGAAGTTCTGAAAAATGAATATTTAACTAGATTATACGTGCAAGTGCACTGTATTTCTTGTATAGTCATAGGCTGTGATAAAGCAAGGTATTCATATGGACAGACCCTTACACCTGCACAGAGCCCTATTAACTCCGATTGGTCTTGCCCCATGGATTAGCCTGCAGGATTGGGGCCTTCATGAGAAATATACTGTACTTGCTCAGTAGCCATTTTCAAATATTTATAACTTTCAAAACTGTTTTTCAAACTAATCAAGGACAATAGACTTCACTGAGGGCTATAATCACGCAAGTTTCAAACTTCAGCTATTTTTGCTGTAGCTCTGCCTAAATTAGTGACACTACTTAAGCTACTTCCCCTCAGCCATTTTTTTTTAAATTTGAAGAAAAAAAACAACAAACAAAAACCTGTCCTCCCAACCATTCCTTAAACATATTCATGCTTTTGGTTAGAGACGAAATTACAGCTCCAACAGTGAAGGGAGGTTACAAGTATACCATAGCGAAATAGTAGCATTAAAGTTGTTCTACAATACAAAAACAAACATGGTACTAAAGTCCCAAAATATTACACTTGTACTCGCATGCACGCACACATAGTGTATGCTTCCATAAGAATGAAGTGGGGATTTGATATTTTCCTATTCAAAAAGAAGGTGCACCTTTACTTTGCATACATTTTTAAGATAGGCCCACAGATACTATTCTGGTAGAGTGGGTTTGGTTTTGAACACTTCTTTCTGTAATGTGTCGTCCAACTCTACCACACAGCTCTGACTGTGTAACAATGGGTTAAAAGTCCAAGCCATAATTCCTCTTCTCAGTTTGACATCTGTACTTTGGGGGTTTAGAAAGATGAAGAAGCTGTGCAGCATTTGTTTGGGACACCCTTGAATTAGTCATGGAGCAAACCACTTCAGTGATGACATAACAGTTATCCCTCTGGGGAAGAATATAAGAGTCATTTGTTGGTATATAAGTAGAGTTACTGAACGTTCTTATCTGATTAAGAATAGTAATATAGAAATGTATCTATCTAATCTTTCTGAACTTCAACACTGGCATCAAAATGGTTCTAGATATAGTTCCAGCTTCCCTAACCCCCCACCATCTCAGTAATTAGACAATTATGAGCTCCAAATTAATAGTTCAGTTTTCTTTCGAAGCACGTTTCACCTCTGTTTTTGTTGGTTAAGCACATAAATACTTTTCACTGTTTGACGATGTAAATCATCACACCCCATAGCATTTTATGCATTGTGATTTGACATTTGTGAACATATGGTAATTATACTGCGTGCTTTGTTTAAAGCAGTTTCCAACCAGCAGCTGAAACTGTTACTACTGTACAGTTGGTTACAGGCTGGGGAAATATTTAGTAGAATACAGTTATGCTTTCTTCTCTGTCTTACATTTTATTCACTGTAAGCTGTGTCCTGCAATTGATCTACGAGTGCAACTATGACAGGATATGGCCTTAAGTTGTCAGAAACATCCTGATATCGATTTTGGGGTAAAACTTTCACCGAGTTTAGTAATTGTGTTGCGTGTAGAGTGATGGCAGGGTACGGTCCCAAATGAACATGACTAAACAATGATTTTGGGTGCTTTCAAATTACAGCCTTAAAATAACACATGATCCTCTCATCTTTTCATCTGCAAACTTTATAAAACCCGAGATAGCACAGATTTGATCTGAATTTATTTATTTCAGAGCTGTGCAAGTTCATTTAAAAAAAAGTGTTAGTTTTGATAAGGCAGTATTTCATTTTAACTTGCTGCTTTATCATTGCTGTGATCTACTGTGTCATATTTGAGCACACTAAAGCCATGGCATGTAACCTAGGAGCCCAAGAGAGATGCAATTTAAAAATATATATTATATACTTTGGAAGCAATTTAATAAGTAAAATAAAAGGCTTGTGTTAAACATATACTTCATAGTAGTTGTTCAGCACAGATATTTGCCAGGTGATAGTGCCAATATACCACCAATTCCAATAAATATACCACACTCAAATACAGCTAAAAGGTCTCTGCTGCAATCTGTGCCAAATTCTTGGCACTCGCTTGAGTAAAGACCACAGAATTTTGACCCTTGTAACTAAAAGCCTCTGATTGCCAGATGCAGGGACTAGACAACAGGGATGGATTACTGAATGATTGCCCTGTTCTGTTCATTCCGTTTGAAGCATCTGGCATCGGCCACTGTTGGAAGCAAAGATACTAGGCTAGATGGACCATTGGTCTGATTCAGTATGGCCATTTTTATGTTCTTATGTAAAAATATGTTAACTATTAGTTAACAGAAAAAAAATACATTTAGGTTGGGGTTGCTGGAGGTTAAAGGCATGTAGTCCCCTTGCAGTTGTCATACTTGTGCTAAATTATATACAGTAAGTAAAACAGATTACCAGATTCACAAATGGAATGGAATTCCCCTTTCTTTCCCCTCCTCCCCCCCATAGATTGGATAAATAACAGCAGAATTTTCCCACTTCCTCATTGGAGGTGGGAGATTAGGCAGTTTGGGCAGGAATACTGCTTGTTTTTACTAATACTATTTTATAAAAAGAGGCTGACTGGTAACAAGTGTATGGCCCCTTCCCTATTACTCTATTCCCTCCACAGGGAAAGACAGTGGGGTGGGGCAAAGGAAAGAGAGAGTCTGATATGCCATATCTCTATAACTGATGGGAACACCAATATGCCAATAATTGGGTTAGGAACATACTCCTCTTTAATTGGGATCTTCAGGGAGTTTTGTGCAATATATAACAAATTACTATACATTTATATAGCATCATAACTTTTGGGAGATTGAGACATAGATCCCTGCCCCTAGGAATAGGAGAACACAGATAGATACCAAGCTGATGAACATGGCTTAAAACCCTAGATCTTCATGCACCAATTGTGCTTTGGCCATCTTGCCAGACCTTATTTTTATATTCTGCTCCAGCTTCTTGAACCATCTGAAGCTGGAACTAGAAGAAAGCCAACTCCCTGACAAATCAGCTAGCAGGAACAAGGAAGAAAAGTGCCTTCTTTGCTTGATTGAGGGACCGGGCAGCACATTTCCCTGCTTCAATGAGAAGCTGTATAATGGCATGAAGTGATATTAATTTAGATGGAATATATGGGCCCAAAGAGTCAATGGTGTTAATGTGACCCACAAACTGTCCAATATGAAACAGTATTTGGGGTTTGGTATACAGAGAGCTCAGCCTGCTTAGTGCCATGGCAATCACAGCATTAAAATTCCTTTTCAGCTTTTATTAAAGATATAGAAAACAGCTAAAGCATTGGAAATGTGAAGTATTAAGAAAGTCTTTCATTTTAACAGCATCCCTTGCTGTTCCCTTTCCTTTTAGCTGGAGAGAGTCTTTAGGAAGAAAGAAAGAGAGAAAAATCCCTGTCTGGCAGTCTCTTAGGTGGGGAATGACTACCCTTTTGGGGAAAGGAGACGTTGTTAGTTGAGATGGGGTGGAGCTGCTGTGGCTGCTGTTAAAATCTGATCCCATTTGCTAGAAAACGATACAAGGGCTTCTCTTCATGTACAACATGACATCGGCACAGCTGCACTGGAGCTGAAGCATTGTTCTAGAGGTGGTAACTGTTTGGGTGGGACAAGCTCTCCCGTCGTCATAGCATTGTCTACATGGGGCGGACAGTGGGGGTTAGGTTGGTATAACTAAGCCGCCCAGGGGGTTGGATTTTTCACTCCCCTGAGCAACACAGTCATACCAATATAAGTCTGTATTGTAGACCTGGCCTAGGACAAATGCGCACACAAGGGGAGAGACAAGAACAGCAAAGGTAGAAAATGCAGCTTCTGTCTCTGGCATTGACTTTCACTTGCAAAATCACCTCTAGAGAAACACAGGGCCCAGCACAGTCTTATCTGCCAGCCTGAGACCTGGCAAACTTGTACCAGCATCATGTTGTTTAGGACAACGCTTTTAGCTACTTTTCTGGTCACAGGCTTACAGCAGTGTTGCAAAATATATCATTTTGGCCATCTAAACCAGACTATGATTAGACAGAAGGCAAAAGGAGAGGGAGAAAAAAGAAAAGAAATAAGGTGGGGAAGGAAAAGGACACATGAGTGGGGCACAGCAACAGTCTTACTTCCCTGGTGGTGGTGGGATTCAGCCGCAGCCAGTGAAGGGGGTGATGTCATCAGGCCCGGTCTGGTCAGGACATTCTCAGGATTAGGATGAAGAAGGTGAGGTGTCCCAGGAAACAGTGGGAGTGGCAACCATAATGGTGAAGCTTGCTCAGTCACCAGTTTTTCTCCCCAAAGTCTCTTAGTTTAAGGTTCCCCTTATTATTTTATCCATCAATTAGGCCTAATTTCTGACACACCAATTCTGGGTCATTGATTTCCGGTCTCTCACTGTTCTTACGAGGTGTAATCTTAACACAGTCCTTGAATTATATCAGTAAATCTTTTTTTGTTGGAACTAATTCAGTCTTTCTATCTCTATTTGTGTGTGTGTGTGTGTGTGTGCGCACGCGCGTGCCTCCTTTTCCCATCAACCTTTGTTATTATAGGTTACTGTGACATTTTAGAACTTACACTTATTTTTCACAGTTGAGCTTACCATTAGGGTAAATTTGTAGACCCAATTATTACAAGAATGGGTCCAAATATCAAGAGCTTAATCATTCCAAAACTATATAAACACACAAAACTCCTGCTGAAGTCACTGATAGGAAGACCTATCAGTGACCTTAAGTATCTCTGCATTACCTATCCAGCTGAAGTGGGCAGCATGTATTTCTAAACTAACTTGTTTGCATGTAGCTGTATTTCAGACCTGTGCAGCACTGGAATATATTGGCCAAAGAAACCATATTCAATAGATCAATATGCAGTTTTGTATTTGTAAATATTAGTGGGACTTATGATCCCATTAATCTTAGATTTTAATTATGGAAACATATTCAGTCATATATTTACTCACATCACAGTAAATATTTCCAAGCTAAGATTTCTTGTAAATTAGTTAATGGCTCTTTGCCACAAATATGTTTTAATTGTCATGAATTAAATATCAATTTGAAAATGATGATAAGCAGTAAAATAAAATAAGAACGACAGGCAGTAAATCTTATCAAAGTCAAATAAAGATACCCCTGGTCAGTTCTCAAGAAATACATATTTAAAATGAAGAAATAGAAAAAAATAGAAAAAAGCCTGTTTCATGAGAAAAACTACAGAAATATGATGATATATTTCTGTAGTTTTTCTCATGAAACAGGCTTTAGCTCCTTTTTCTCCTTTGTTCATTTGACATGATTTATAAAGCATCAATAAATACATTCTACTTAGGATTCCTTCTGATTTTGATATTGACTTTCCTAGATGTCTTCTTCGCATAGCATGAGTCAGATAAAACAATTTGGTTTGAGTTCAATACAGTGTTGTTTTGTTCTGAAGGTCAACCCGGGATCAGACAGGAGCAGTTTCTCATTATTTCCTATTGGCACTCCAAACAGTCTTTATTGAAGTCTTTCAAGCAATGTGTGACCTCTGTTTCAATACGTCTCACAGATTTCACAGGCTGTCACCGCCGCTCAAACATCACTAACACAGACAACTGTAATGGAAACTGTAACTATGGTGACCACCAGAGAACAAATCCTGGTTAAGCATGCTAAAGAAGAACTCCCACCACCTCCACCACACAAGAAGAGGCAGATCCTAGTGGATTCAGAAATTAGGAAGAGGTGAGAAGTACTAAAGGGTTGGGGAAGATCAGTGATAAAGTTTGGATAAGACTACAAAGATTAACTATTGTCATTTGAATGTTTGCATAATTTGGGGCAGGGGGTTTCTGTGGAAAAAAAATTCAGTATGCCAGTAATATTGTAATTAATTAGTACCTTTGTTTTTATCAGGCTGATTATGGAGTAGTTTGTACAAGTGGTTCCAATAAATTACTATGATATAGTACTGAATATTTAATAGGTATTATGCTAATATTAAAGTAATATTATTTTGTTAAGTCAAAGAACCACCACAGGTGATAATTTGTAGTACAAGCATGACATTTTCTATACTTAGTGTTGTTCTGTTCTGAAAAGAGTCCTTAGAAATGGCATTGTGGCATTCCACATCAATTGTGGCTAAAAACTTTGAGAAAATCCTTTAGTTTTAAAAATAAAGAAACAAAAAACATTCCACGTTCTAGTCCTGCAAACTCCGCGTGGAATCTGAAAATCAGGTTTTATTCTTTCTGGCTTGTGCATCATTGTTAGTAATACAGGTCTACAAGGCAAGACGTTGCCCTCAGTCGCACCTATGCAATCTCATTGTCTTTAGGGTTTGTCCTGTGTATCCTAGGTGTAACTAAGGGCAAGTTTGGGCCCTTCAGTTGGAACTAAGGGAACTTATCCAAGACTCATTGAAATCAGTGGAAAAGTTCCCAAT